GTGGCTGAAATTCTTCCTTGGTCCTGATTTGGGGGGGCTGGGGGTGGTGAAAATCTCTGATCAGAATTTCTTATCCATTCTGCACCTGTAGAGGTAAGTAAATTTTACATATTTTGATGTAAAGCATGACAGCCTCCAGGACTAACCTCCCTTTTCTTCAAATGATGAAATCATAGGTACAAGTGCCAAAAGAACTGGAATAGAGGACAACCGAACCATCTAGAAGAACAAGACATTGGAACAATGGCTCTTGCCTGGGAGCTTGGAGACTATTCCAACAGCAATGCTTCGGGATCCAGGTGGCAGAACTGGGAACAATATTAACATCTCAGAGGGATATTTATAAAAGAAGAAAACCGGTCATGACAAGATAGAGGCGGAAGGGCGGGAGGGACTACATCAACAATTAGCATCCAGGGGCAGCATATTCGACTTCTAACTGCTTTTAGTGGTTGAGGTAAGACTGAGTCATGTTACGTGAAACAGCAACAACAAAGGTAGTTAAAAAATCAACATTTGCCTTTTGCTTTCTATGGGTAAATAACAATATGTATAACTGCTAGCTGTACTAGCTCCACTTGTCCGGTTTCTCCTGGTTCCGCTGCTGTACCTCAGCTGCAGTAGGTACCAGGCCTTAAAGGGAACATGCCCTGTTGTACCCTATGGAGCTGTAAAGTACCTGAGCTCCAGGACTGTCCAGTGCAATGACATCAGCGAATGGATGGTCAGCTCTTTAGAGAATCCATCGTGATTTCCAGTCTCCAAGCTTACCTGGTTTCTCCCTGGGACATGCCCCCATGTTTCAAAACATACTTCTGACAAAGTTATCTATCAAGGGCAGAATGTCACCTATCAAGCACAGAATGTCACCAGAAGAAGAAATAAAAAATCAGCGTGAAAAATGAAGTTTACATAGATGAGAGGACTTCAGAAATTTCATGGTAAATTGCAATGAAAAGGGCATCGAATTTTCCCATGGACCTTGAGAAGTTTCTGCATATATACAAATTTCTCCCAGTGAGTTTCCATGTATATAGGGCCAGTGAGAGAGAATATGCTGTTTTTGTAGGAATTTTTAAAAGATAATGTTGTTAACAATAGCATTTGGTTTGTGCTAATGATATTTTCTAGTTTGTTTTGTTGCTGTGACTTTAAGTCTAGTCTGTGAGTTCACTTGGGTCTTGTTCCTCCCAAAAATCTTCTAAAGGAAGAATTGGGATCATGATAGTTGGGTTTGGGGGGAGGGGGGAGGAAGCATTTAAGACCTAGAGGAAAGTTGTATGTTTCATTGCTGTTACACTGCACCCTGACTGGCTTCTCTCCTCCCTACAACCCTTCTGTAAGGGGATGTCCAGTTGCCCATAGATGGGCTTTGGGTCCCCAATCTGCACTCCCCCTCATTCACAATGATATGGTTTTTTGATGTCTGATACCTGATCCCTTCGACATTCATGATCACACAGGCTGGTGTGCTTTTTCCATGTGGGTTTTGTTGCTTCTCACCTAGATGGCCGCTTGTTTACCTTTAAGCTTTTAAGACCTCAGATGCTATATCTTTTGATAGCCCAGCACCATCAGGTTTCTCCACCACATTTGCCTATGCACCCATTCATAATCCGACTAGACCAGAGGATGTACACTGGTACATATAGGAACTGGAAACACATGGAATCCAGGACAGATGATCCACTCAGAACCAGTGGTGAGAGTGTCGATACCATGAGGGTGGAGCGAAGGCGGGGTAGAAAGGGGGAACCGTTACAAGGATCTACATACAACCTCCTCTCTGGGGGAAGTACAACAGAAAAGTGAGTGAAGGGAGACATCAGACTGTGTAAGATATGACAAAATAATAATAATTGATAAATTATCAAGGATTCATGAGGGAGGGGGAAAAATGAGGAGCTGATACCAAAGGCTCAAGTAGAAAGAAAATGTTTTCAGAATGATGATGGCAACAAATGTACAAATGTGCTTGATACATGGATGTATGGATGGATGGTGATAAGTATTGTACGAGCCCCCAATAAAATGATTTTTAAAAAATCTTCTAAAGGAAACTTGCTTGCAGAATTCAATTTAAACTCCTTAACCTGTCATTTGCAAGATATGACAAAATAATAATTTATAAATTATCAAGGGTTCATAAGTGAGGGGGGAGCAGGGAGGGAGGGGGAAAATGAAGACCTGATGCTGGGGGCTTAAGTGGAGAGCAAACATTTTGAGAATGATGAGGGCAATGAATGTACAAATGTGCTTTACACAATTGCTGTATGTACGGATTGTGATAAAAGTTATATGAGCCCCTAATAAAACGATTATAAAAAAGAAAGAAAACCTGTCATTCAAGAACCCCCATTATCTGGCTCTAGTTTACTAGCCCAGTCTTATCTCTGACAAATCCTTCGGTGCCTTTTGATAAAGTATCTTTGCACATCCTTGTGCCTCTATGTTCACTTCCCTTTTTACAGAACACCCTCCCACCCCCTCCAAGAGGCTTCCTCCAGCCCGGTAACCAATGGTGAAGTTCCACCCAATTGTGAAAGCCTGGGAGAGGTGCCATCTCCTTCACAGATACCTTCTCCGCCAACTCCAACCCTACTGTTCCTTCCTCCTTCCAGGTTCTTACAGCTCTTAGCTGGCTGCCGCAGCTCCTGGGCACATTGAATGTGTGATTGTCATTACAGAAGTGGGACAAACACAAGCATCGAGGCATCAAACTTTGCTGATTTTTCTGTCACCTTTACCAAAACGAATCATTAAGCTACTGCTTCCAGAACTCCTTGTAGACAATTATACCCACACCTGGCCACTGGGTCCCTTATCACTCAGAGCGACCCATCAGGACAGAGTCAAACTGGACACAATGGATGGATGGATGGATGGATGGATTGGGATAAGAGCTGTCTGCGTCCCCAATAAAATGATTTTAAAAATAAATATATATTTTTAAAAAGGTCCCCAAGCCTGTTGTTTACGAAAGCCTCATCTTTCTCCATGGCTTCAAGCCACTGGCCCTTTAGTTAGCAGCTGAGTGCTGACCTCATAGTGGAAATTGGTTAAAACTGATGAGTATTAGGAACAAACTTAAAAACAATAGATTATTTGGAAGGACAAGTGTGGGAAAGAAATATGTTTCTATTTTCACAAGATAAATTCCAAAATCTAAACCCACTGCCATGAGTTAACGCTGACCCGAGATAGCCACCCTCTACTGGGTTTCTGAGACTAAACCTTTATGCGAACAGATAGCCTCATCTTTTCCCCTCAGAGTTGCTGGTGCGTTTGAACCTCTAACCTTGTGGTTAGTAGTCGAACACTTACCCGACAGTACTTCCAGGGCTCCTAAAGGTAAGTTAGTGTGTACAAAAGAAACCAAATTAAAAGTCTTAAATCAAGTGACTAATTTTAGGAGAGAAAACAGCTAATTACTTTCTGCACCCCACCCCCCCTCCAATATATCTACAAGACATCTTTGCATATAAAGCAGAACATTTAAGAAAGGACTGCAATAAATAAAACTGCTTAAGTGCCTAGCACATGCTCCGTTTAAGAGGCTAATCTCTGATAGAACAAAATGCCCAGAATATTTTCACAAGCCTAATGTTTATTAGATGTTCCAAAAAGCCCTATGTATTGGCTTACATAGACAGCAATAATAAGGTCAGGAATTTTTTTAAAGTGCTAATAGCCTTCACGCAGGACTCTAGCCCTAGCTCATGTATAAGGAAAACATACCTAATTTTACCGTTGACTGCCTCAATACACAGGTTTCATCCACACAGACATGAAGTCATTTATATATATATTTTTTCCCATCCATCCACCCCAACCAAAAAATCCCTGTTGATAGTTATTTTAGCTTGTTTTCAAACATCATCTTGGTTTATGGCATTCACGTCACATTTTTTCTATGATTATTTTTCCAGAATTGACCATTGATGATGAGTAATTATTGTATTTTTTAAAAATATTTCGTTACATTCTCCAAATTTACTACATTTAGTTAGCAGAGTTCACACCATGTAAAAATCGCTAAGGGGCTAAAATGTGTATAAACCAGTATCAAGTTGCAGAAAGCAATTTAATTCAATTTTGCTCTGGCTGGAAGCATAGAAAGTATAAATGGTTTATTATTAGGCGGTGTTTGAAACAAGCGAAGAGCATTTTGGCTGCGTGGCAGAGCCTCATAGCTTATTGGGTTGTCACGGAGTCCTTCGGATGTTGAACATAGGATTTCATTAAGTGCAGTCTCACCCAAAACCCCAAAACCTTTGAAACATTTTATTCTTCATATTCAAGTAAGCATAGTACAGATTCTTGACCGTGTCTGGGAAGTTGACGTGGTGACATCAATGAGCTAAAGTTGGCTGAGGAGCCAAAACGCAAGAAAAATTAGGCATAATACTGTAGCTTCTGACTCGGAGAACACAGGGGGCCTCTTCAGGAAGCGCAGCTTCAACTGTCTGCACGATTCAACAGGAAGGAAACCCGTTTTCTAGTTTTTCTATGCAGTCACATAATTGGCAAGCAAAACCTTTCCCATGACCTATTTCTAATACCTAGGAAGTAAAGAGAAGAAAGAAATGGGGTAGAATCCACATACACTCACGCTTTCTGTACTCTGATATCTATAAAAGCCCATGCTTACAACAATCACTACCTAAAGTTTTCATGAAGTGCGGAAGCTGGCAATTATTCCCATCTTAACTTTTAAAAATAGTTTTGCTCAGTCCTGTAAAAATGCTTTTCAGATTTCAAAAGATCATCTACTTTCGTCTTCATTGTGCCCAAGGAATTAATAAAATGCACATTCATTTCCTTTGTTTCTAAATGTTCCAGTTAAAATAGAAATAATGAAAAAAATGTACAGTAAACATGATCCCGGACACCTTTTGTTCTTTTCTCCACCCCGCCCCCATGAAAATCATAAAACATATGCAATACCAATAAAACTCAATTTTTGCTTTTTTAAAAAATAATATGTTACAGAGCTGTAACCCCCTTAAAGAAGATGACATTAGGTTTGGAACAGATATCTGCTGGTGAAAACACGAGTCATAGTTCAAAAATTTACAAAAAGTTGACAAAATATTTTAACAGCCATCTTTATATTTGTAAACAAAGTATACACTGGCTTATCCAGTTTCCACTGCATACCATACGTTGCAAAGTGATAGAAATCATCTTTGATTTTAAAAGATCAATAATCACTAAAGTAACTTATACTCCACACATTACAAGCTGAAGGACTATTTGGGTGGGAGGAGGCTGGAGGGGATTAGAAATAGGCGGAGGCTACTGTGCCAGCCTCTCATTCACTCCCATTCCTCCTCACACTTGACTTTGACTTTTCCCTCTGGCAGCATCGTTGCTGCACTAGTTACGATTCTTTGATTCCCTTAGGAAATCAGTGTGATCTACTCCCTATCAGTTTTCCTAAACACGTTTGAAACTTCAGACAAAACGGGGCTGGCTTGGGGTGGGTCAGGACAGGGTCACTTTTGGTTTCTAGGCCCTCCCTAACAGCAGAGGGATCCATCACGTGGTCTTTACATGCATGCTGCCATTGGTAGCTGGATGGTACGTGCACCTCCTATTTCAAATACACAAACGGAAAGTAGGTCTAGGCAGGAGCAAGCTGCAACGGACTTCCTGCTGAGACCCTCCCTATCCCCGGACCAGCCGCTTATTCCTTCGCTTTACTGAAGTAGTCGCTGAATTTGTTCAAGCCCTCTTCCTGCTGCTCCAGCGCGTCCAGGAAAATGCCCATCGGCGTCTTCTTCAGCCCCAGCCCCTCAATTTTATTCTCCACCTTGTTCTTGAGGTTTCGAAGCCGCAAGGACGCGTGGATGAACATCACTGCGGGGAAAGGGGACACGGTTAGCAGCAAAGCAGCAGTTGTCTGGTCCCACATCAACCTTTCACTCCCTCCCTACCGGTCGGTTCCAACTCATCACGACCCTCCACGGGAGCAGAAAGCCTCATCTTCCTTCTGTGCACCGTGCCTGTTGGCTGTCGCCCAGTAGGGCTTTTTAATTGCTCCAGTCTTCAACTGGGTCCTTGGCTGATGTCAACTGGACTTTATATAAAGCGCCTCATGGACTCACGCGTTAAGTGCTCTTTGGTGCGTGGAGGAAACAGTGTGTGTGTCAACTGAAAGGACCATCATCTGTCCGTCACACTTACGATCCTGCAGATGCTACTCAAATGCCCTGAATTTCAAAGGGAATCATTGTCTTGCAACCTAGATAAAAACGGACTGACACAAAATCTGTACTGGTTACAGGTTGGGCTGCGATCCGAAAGATCTGTAAGTTCCCAACCACCAGCCAATCTTCAGGAGAAAAATGGAGTTGCAGAAAGCAATTGAATTCTATCTTTGCAAATAGTTACAGTCTCGAAAACTCACAGGAGCAGTTCTACCCAGTCCTAAAGGGTTGCTGTGAATTGGAATCGATTGGATGGCAGTGAGCTTTCTGAGTTTCCAGAAAGGAGTTAGGGACCCTGGCTTTTGTCCCCCTCAGGAGCCCGTGGTGGTGAGAAGGTTTGTGCCCACAGCTGCTGACTGGAAGTTTTGGGGCCTCGGTCCACCCAGAGATACCTTGACAGGCAGTCCTGATGATCTACTTCCTAAAGGTCACAGCCTTTTGGGGAACCACTCACCTTGGATGGCCACTGGGGTCAGGGGGCATGCAAACAAAGACCACTTACTTAAAAGGTTCCTCCTCCCTGACAGTTTCCCAAAGTGTTAGCTACAGATTTGTACTAAAAATCTAATAATTTTCCAGAAGTTAACTGGTCCCCAATGTTTCCCAGATTTGCTTGATCATTAGAAATTACCAGAGTTTTCTTATTTAAAAATAGATTACCAGGCTCCTCTCCTGGGCCTCCTAAACCATAAAATTGGAACAGAATGGGCCTTGGGAGCCTGTATTTTGAAATAGGTAACCCAAGGGGTCAGCACCAGTCGTTTTGAATCATCACTGCCCACCTCACAGGTCGGGTTCCACGCAGAGTGTAACGGAGCCTGCTGCGCAAGTAGATTCCTGGGCTCTACCACCCCCAAATTTAAGACCAAGGTAGGGCTCGGGAAGGTACAATTTTAATCATGACTCTGGATGACCATAGCCCTTAAATCTGAGACACATTCATCCTCCTTCTATCTGGTGATTGCCAGACTAATCGCCCACGTGAAACACAAAGAATCAAGATCTCCTGTAATGTGGCTGGGAAATTTATATACAGTATATGTATTTACTACGGAAATTTATATTTTTTAAAAGTGTCTTGCCTTGCACGCATTCCACTAGTGACCTAAGGTAGCCATAAAAGGACAAACCTTGTATGATCCCCCCTACAGGAGCTACCAGAATAAAAAATGCCTAGACTACAGTTTCTTGAGCAACAACCACGGGTGGGGGGATGGCAGACGGGAGTCACTGCTTTGGAGACACGGAGTTTTTGTCGAGGGAAATGGGAGATTTTGAAAACTGATAGTGGTGATGGTGATGAATATAATTACTTTCACTGAATGGGACATGCTAAAAATACTTCAGGGGTGGGGGTGATCCTGGGTAATTAGCACTGACGATGTGCCATTTCCTTATATTACATGGCAGTCAACTATGGCCCGCCTGGCTCAAATCACATGGCTGGCTCCAGCAAAGTCAGGGCTAGAACCTGGGGCCATGACTCTGCCTCTGACGTAAATCATTATCCTGTCCTTCTCTCAGGCTCTGATGTAGAAAGGAACCCAAGTAAACAAGCTGCGCATTTAAACAAGAAAGAATCATGGAAATAGAATGGATGCAATGGCCATGCGTGTAATAAAGAAGCCTGTTAGTGAGAGAAAGATGAAGCTGTCTACTCCCATTAAGAGGTACAGTCTCAGAGGCGCACAGGGGCAGTTCCGCCCTGCCCCATAGCATCGCCGAGTCGGCATGGGCTGGATGGCGGTGAGTCTCTTTGCTTGTTTATTTTCCGGTGTAGCACATAAGGAAAACCTGAAGAAAAGTTTCCAAAGCTGTCTTTGAATTTGCTGAGTCAAAATCCAACAGGAGGTGGGAGCCATCCAGAAATATTCTGGGCTCAATCTGCAAAACCCCAGAATAAGCAAATGATTTCATGGAATGGGATAAAAGCACTCGTGAAATGCAGGAAAAAGTTAAAGAGATGCTCCTGTCACTTAGTACATTAAAATGGAAACCAGTGTCTACTGATGAAGCTGGAATTTTACCTGATCTCTATGATAGGCTACAAGTATGTGTTTGGGGCCCCAATAAGCATTGCATATAAAGGTTTTAAAAATATCTAGTTCTCATGACTAGTCCTGGTATCTATGAGGGGGCTTCAGAAAGTACATGGGTAAAAGGAATTAAAAGATAATAGGGCTTCCCCACAAACTTAAAAACAAACAAACAAATAAACAAACAAAACATCTTCATATGTGTTGTGCCAATTACTCCTACAGACTTATAAAAATGTTACACCAATTATGGATCTTCAGAATAAGCAGAACATGAATAGTTTATTCCCGATGACTAATTCATTTCTGTACCAGAGAAGTCAGAATGGCACTTAAAGATTGAGAAGGGACAGTTTTGTGTTGGATTAATCGGGGCTCCAATCCAGGTACACCACCTCCCTGCTGTGGGACCTGAGGGAGTTTAGTCTGTGTGTCCCTCTTGGTGTGTCCCGATGAGGGTCTATCCCACAGCAGTTTCCCCACAAATATTTCTGGCATTGATGAACTGTTGGGTGGTTCTAGAAATTTCTAAATGTCATTCCCATCCAACGATCACTCTGGTGTTTGTGGCCATGGAAGCAAAAGAAGAATTACGTTCACTTACTCAGTAAAGGAAAAGTGATACCAAACAAAAAGACCATGACTCCCCCAAACATGGAGATGAGGAGATAGCTAGCCAGCATGACCATCATCACAAACGTCATGGGGTACTCCTTCTTCATCCGGCGGAAGATGTCTTTGTTTTGGGCTCCCCACACAAACCCCGAGAACACCAACACCACCACAACTCCTCCGATGATCATGTTGAAGGGACTCAAGAACCTGGAGGGTGGCGAGAGGGAGAATGGAAGTCAGCAGTGGCAGCAGCAGGCGAGGGGCGCAGAAAGCCAGCCCTCGGTAAACACAGTCTTACCATGAACTTTGCCTCATTGTCTCATTTCATTTGCACTGCTATTACCAATGTAGCTCTCCAGGGACGGCACCCGGGCACAGAGAGGTTTGCAAACAGTGGGAGGAGGGTTCACACTGAGGCAGTCTGGTGCGCACTATCTGGGTCGGTTCATCTCACCACAGGCCCCCAATGTTAACACTGAAGGGTTCTTTGGAGGGGTTGTGCTTCTGTGCATCTTGGATTTTCTTATCTCTGAGGGCTTATTTCAAGCCTCTGGGCCAGAACCAGTGGACAATCACAGTGTTTTCAAACCTTTGGCTCAAATTCCAATGTGTAAAAACAAAGCACCACCAAAAAAAACCCCCCAAAAAACCAAACCAACAACAACAAGACGCCACAACAAAAGTTTTCATCGTCTTAATTGTCTTGGAAACAGGAACACGTAACAACATTAGGACTGCTTTCCCATGCCAACAACTGGCCGGCGCCCCGGCCTCATTCAGACAGAACACGTCTCTCCATGCAGCCCCCTCCCACCACTCTCTTCAACATCCCTCACAGAGGCTCCGAGCAAGCTGCCATCATCCGGGTTTCCAACAGCTGCCCTTTATCTCTCTTTCATAACCGACTTGGTCCATGGAGCCAGTGGAACTCATGATTCTTGGCACAGCGTCTATTAAAAACCTAGAATATCACGAGCAAATGTGTGCTGACACTATAGATAGAACCCCATCGTGCACCCCAAACCCTGAAGGAGGCATTTGTGATCAGTCTTCACATGTAATGGGCTACTAACTTTTCCACCTCTTGCAAGACTAAAGGGGCATCTCCCCCGAGAAGGACAAAGAGGGTGGGCGGATCTCATCATGCTTCGATCATGACTACCCTTGGTGCAGAAAGGAGGGCCCAGAAAGTGGAGGAAGGGACGTGAACGTAAAAGCTCACCAAAGGTTTGATAGTCATGTTTGCATTCATACATTCATATTTAGGATACCTGAAATTCTTTTTATTAAAAAATCCTGCTAAATCTAGGCTTTCATTCTGCTCACTAAAGGGGGGGCTGTTTTAAATAATTTGGAGAAAGATGTTTTCCATACCTTAATCATTTTTTTTCTCAAAGGTTATAATTAATGTCAAAATGCTTTGAAAAAAAATTTTTTTGGATTTCTATTTTAAAAGCTATAGAAGTAAATGGTGACAAGGGTGGCAGTCCATGATCTGACAGGGACTCCTAGGAGAGGTTGTTTTTGTGATGGATAAATGTTTCAGAACTCCTGCAGATGACTGTATCCTTCGAGCAGTAAATGTCCAGTGAAGAATACAGTCTATGGTAAGAAAACAAGGACTGAGTTGTAACACCACTTATACTAGTGGGGGTTATGATTAAAAACGTTGAGAAACAATGTTCATGGCCAGCACAGCTATCCGACTGTGGTAATGACAGCTACTTTGTAAAAGTGGAGGTTCACTTAGGAACACGGTGCTGCTGTGAGGTCCTGTCCTACGGCCTCAGAGCCACAGACAGACCCCCCGACACGGCAGCACCGCAGCGAGGGTTTGCTAGGCTGTCATCTTTCTGGAAGCAGACCGCCAGGTCTTTCTCCCTCGCAGTGGCCGGGCAAGCTCCAACCGCCAATCTTTCACTTAGCAGCCACGCACTAGCCTGGTGTACCAACGGGCTCCTTCCATACTTATACAGCAACATGTTCACAAGATATGGGATGAGCAAAAGCAACTGTAGCATATTAATAAATTGCTAGGTGGGCTTATATGTTATAGCACTCAGAAATAAAAATTTTTATAACGAGTACATTATCCTGTAATCAGAACATATCTATACATATGAAGTAAAATAATAAAATATAATTTTAATTTAATTATAATTATTTTTTTAAACTGGTAAATCTCTCCAATAACATTAGTGGCAAGTAAATTCATACACCAAAAGACTCTTCCTGCTCCCAAACAAACCTTGGTGGCCTACTCATTCTCTCAAAACAAACAAACACTGCCATTGAGTCGGTGCTGACTCATAGTGACCCCCTATGGGTTTCTCAGACTAATTGTTTACTGGAATAGAAAGCTCAGTCTTTCTCCCATAGAGCTACTGGTGGTTTCGAACTGCTGACCATGCAGATCGCAGCCCAATTCCTAACCACTACACCACCAGGGCTCCTATGCATTCTCTAGGGCCTCTTATACTCAGCCTACCCAAGCCCCCAAACCAAACTCAGTGCTGTCACGTTGACTCCACAGGACAGAGCAGAACTGCTCTGTGCGGTTTCCAAGGCTAGAATCCGCAGGGAAGCTGACTCCTTGGTGTGTGGTGTCTGCTGAGCTTGAATCATGCTCTTCCTATTAGCAGTCACGTGCTTAATCACTGCACCCCCAGAGCTGAACAGCACACCCCGCCCCCAAACTTCCTCCAACATCCAGCACACATGTTACTCTGGGTGTTGCCGTTCTTTTCCTTGGCTCTTTACTATGCGGGTCCATGTAGCCTCTCAGTACTTTTCTTTTTAATTTTATCTGGATCATGCCTACTTTTGATTTAGCAACACCTGATTCCTGGGAAACACAAACCATTCCTTACAGTTCCATGGAGCGGCAGGGAGTTGAACAAGGCAAAAGGAAGGTTCTCTTTAGTGGATGGTGGGGAGATGGAGTGAGTGGGGAGGACCAGAAATGCTCACTGATGGACAAGCCCATCCCTAGCACCAGGAAGATTCGGGGGGGACTGGACCACGTGAACCTATCACGAGGAAGATTCCGGGGGAAACTGGACCACGTGAATGCATTCGCTGTAAAGCACAGAAGGGTCTGGTCAGAGGTAATTTCCCTCTATTTGCTCATTTCTATTTTTTAATTTTCTCAATGCATTGTTTGAATCATAAAACAGTTATGTTTAAACAAACAGCAAAATAGCAGAGGGGGGAATACTTTTTAAACACAAACATCTTTTTCAAAGCCTTTGATGTTGACCTATAACCCACACAAATATTTCTGTGCTGCGAGACAAAGCAAGGATCAAAATTAACGGGAAGAACCAGAAGGAGGGTAAAGGTCTAAGAAACGCTCTGGCATATATTACAAACAAGAGATGGCTAATGGGCAGCAAATATCAAAAATCCACTCAGTCTTTTCTAGATGACCATCATAATAATAATAATACAGGAAGCGTGTAATAAATTGAGGTCAAACTTTTGCCCCCCTTTCAGGAACACACACACAAAAAGTGGACAATTACTTTGAATACCTAAATACAGCCAAGGCAAAGAACAACAAAAAGTGCAGGGCTGACTCAAGCAATTCCAAATTGCATTTCACCTGTCCCTGTAGCTCATGTTCAGGGAAGGGAACAGAACAAGGAGTTCGACAGAACTGGTGTCAGTTGACAAACCTCCTCGCCGTGATCTATAATTAGAAAGTAAGTTTCCAAATGGAAAAAATGAACAAAGCCACTCAGGACAGGCATGATTCTCCTCATTAGCACGCTTAGATACACGTCCACCCCAAGAACTGGGAACACGCACACCAATGCCCTTGGAGCAAAATAAAACACACACCATCCCTCAGAGCTTGAGTTCATTTTCCAGGGAGACAGGGATTTGGCTCTTTTCTGAGATGAGTAAAGCTTTCAATCAGCAGCTGGGCTGCTAGTCTCCCCAGGCACAGTAACCTCCAAGCACCTGTGGGAGGCAGTTTCCATAAACATGCCGCCCACCATGCTTGTGGGCAGTTGCCACTGACCCTGCTGTGTGGAGACTCCCTGTCATCCGCATATGAGAGGGAGGGAGAGAGAGAATGAAAATACGCTGCATTTTCTGAACTTGGAAGAAATAGGACTTAGTTTTGCAAACCAAAAATATAAAATATATTTTCTAATGTGAGATTTTAAAAAAGCAAACACCTTTATGTGAAACACTCATATGTAGGAAGGACTTCAGAAGGTTCGTAGAAAATTGGAATGAAAAGATAATGGAATTTTCCCATGAATACGATAAAGTCACTTTGCATAGTCTTTTCCATAGGTTGGCAAACTGTTGAGACAGAAGAGCCAACCCTGTCCCTCACAAAAATTTTAAAATTATCTGAGAGTCTAAATATATTTTTACAAACAAATGAAATCACCATTATCTGACTCATATCCTTTCATTTTTCTCAATTTTACCTCAGGGCCTCATGAACATACAGAAAGAGCTACACAAAGATTCAAAGATACCTAGAGAGTCAGAGAAGGAAAAGCAAAAGCAATGCCCCAAATAACTTCTTCAGCACTGCTACTTTGCTTCAGGGAACCCCGCCCGCCGGACACCACCACACACAAGTTTATACTCCCTGCTGGCTCATACGACCAGTCATTGTCCTAGGGAATCTCTCAGCATTCTCATTTCTCTGTGAAGAAAGGTGGCCACTCGTGAGTGTTGACATGTGCCTTTAGTTTTCCATTATGACTCCGCTAGCTATAGCAATAGTTTCAGCACACATTGGTGAAAAGGGAAGGATAAAAATCTCGGCCAATCACGGAATTTTAGAGGTAGGAAGGATCTTATTTATTTATTTATTTATTTATTTATTTATTATTTTTTTAGGAAGGATCTTAAAAACCCAACTTATACCCAGGGACAAGAGAACAAGTGATCTAACATTGATGGCGAGGAGGGCATAGGATGCCTGGTGGGGCTTGATCAAGGGGAAGGTAACTGAGAGGAATTACCGAAACCTGAATGAAGGCCAAACATGATAGTGGGACAAGAGGAAAGTAAAAGGAAATAGAGGAAAGAACTAGGAGGCAAAGGGCATTTATAGAGGTCTAAATACAGGCATGTACATATGTAAATATTCTTATATATAATGATGGGGATATAGATCTATGTACATATATTCATATGTTAAATATTATGGTAGCACACGAGCACTGGGTTAACTC